TTTTATGGGCAAAATGAACAAGATGAAGCAGAAGGCCTGAAAGCCAAAGGTCAGCTATGAATTTGAGGCTGGCCAAAGCGCTAAAACTAAAGTTTTTATTAGTACTGAAATCAAATATATGGACAATTGAAAGTGAATGAGACGTTTGAGAGAGGACAATTCAGGAAGAAATTGAAAAGACCCTTCTGTCTGTGTTTCTGTGTGGCCAAAAAATCCAACTCAGCATCTAGTTCTTGCATTTCCTGTTGGAAAAATGCATCCAAAACCAGGACTGCACTGCACTGCAGGGGTCAGCTGCTTCCCAGTATTCCCATAAGAGACATCCAGGCTAACCCTGGGCTTATTCTGGGTGATGTCCAACACTGTGAGGGTTTCATGATGAAGCATGATAGGCTTTGAGCAGGATGGATGTACATGATCTCTGTAGGTCCGGTTTTGATCTCTGGCAAAAACTGTCTAAGAGAATTTCTGAAGCTGTGAAGAGGTTTGGAAGGAACCTCTTAGTTCATGTGGGTGGTAGCAAACACTTTTTGTCTGTGTGTCATGGGATAATAAATCTAAATGTGATGCAAAGATAGGAGGGTGTACATCTTTTTGCAACTCGGCATTGAGGGCTCACATCAGGGAGTTCATATAAAATAAATTTATGATGAGATTGAGAGAAAGTGCAAAAGTAAGCATTGAGTGGTTTGGAACAAAGATAAAATTACATGGCAACATGAGTTTTCTGGAGTTAAGTTTTATTTGGGCACTTAATTTGTTACTGTGTTTCTGTATTATTTTTCTTGTTATAAGCAGTAGTGTCCTAATGAAAGGAACGAGGTTTAATTTGTTTCCTTTTCATCCCATCTCTGTTTGTAGAAACTGTACCTTCTAGATAAGATTTCACTGTCTCTGTCCCTAGGGTCACTGAAGCCATCATACAATATTTCTTCAGGGGTGCTAAATTATTTATAACAAAACTAAAACAAGAACAGTGTTTGAAATTTAATGAATGTGCTTTTCATAGGACAAGTACCCATAAATTAGAAAGAAGGAGGGAAAAAAAACACCAACCAGTAACTGAAATCTTGGTCTTGTTAAAAGAGATAAGATTTGGGTAATATTTTTAGTGGAAAAAGAATTTCAACCAGCTATGACCACCAGAGAAGTTGTGCTCCACACAAACAATTTCAGAATATGCTCTGAAATATCTGCTTCCTGACATTGGTCTGTTTTGATTTAAAAAATCATCCCAGAAGGTTGATGATTTGCCATCTTTGATAATTTATAACTCAGAAAAGCCATTACAGACACTGAAAAGCTTACAAAATCTGCCAAGAGCATTTTGCCAGCTGTGGTGAAGATACAAAAAAAAAAACCCCACTAAAATAGTTAAAGATTTGTTTGTTCAAATAATTATTCATTTCATCTATTATTTGCAAATGTGAACTGAGTTTAAATCAAAGATCTTTTATCTTCAGGATTTGGTAGATGAATTTCACTATCACTTCTAATTTGTTTTGAGTTTGTGTTCCGCTCCTTAGAGTGAAAATTGAACTGATCAGAGAAAGTAATTCTCGCTATAAACACAATAGACAGGATGCTGAAGAACAAACTGTGATACCTCTTTAAGACACTCTACTGCTATGTCAGAAATCTTCAGCTTGTCACGTAGCAGAATGCTACTTCAAAGGAGAAAGATCCCTTTGAATCTCAGGGGATTGGGTTCTGAATTTAATTCCTGAAATGAACAGGCTCCTTAAGCATTCCCTGTAAGTTCTCTTGAGCAAAGAGGGAAGGTTGTAATATCAGAGAAAATAATCTAAAAAAAAAAGACTTTATTTTCTGTGCTTTTTGAAAAATCAGATAATTCATAATTTCATTCAATTATAAAAAGAATTTGTAAGCTACCACCTGCTATTGCTAGAAACTAATAATTTGCTGTGCAAGCTTAAGCTTTTTTTACTGCCCTTAGAGCAGTAAGTATATTACTGCCCAGATCACAATTTCTGTGGTTTGCTTCACTGATATCAGTGATAGCAGCTTCCAGGCATAACCCATAATTACCACATGGTTCAACTTGAAGTTTTGTATTTTAGTTATTCTTACATAAACAAAGGAAGCTTCCATATTTTTTCCTGTCTTCTTGGTGTTCTTGGTGTTATGAAATGAAATTAGGCATGTCGTTGGCCACTGGTTCTTCAGCTGAAAGCAACTGACAGAGGAAAACTGAAGTTCTTATCTAAAATATGTTTTTAAAGCAAAATCAACACTTGATCCACTTTTTCTGAGATACCAAACCAATCAGATTCATGTTTTTAAAGAGAATCTGTTCCATAACAAGCAGACAATTCTCTCAGAGAAGGCAGCTCTTGTGACTCACAGCAACTAACATCTGACAGATTTCTACTATCATTTTATGCCCAAGGCTAATAAGCTCTGTTTTCCCTCTCTTTGCTGTACTAGTGCTCTGTATTATCTCAGTGGAGATTTTTGAGTAGGCTTCATCATTACCAGAGATCAGAAAACAAATAGATATTTAAAAGAATTTGTAATGTTCATGTTTTTTCTCTGTTTGGTACTAATCATAAAATAAGAAGATTCTCAAATCTATACGGAGCCCAGTCACAAAAACAGTTATTACATTTCAGTAATGTAACTAACATAAAAGATTTAGTACTCCATTTAATTATTATGGGTGTGCTACACTGAGACATGTACTAAATTTATCAAGTATTGTTTATTTCACAAATCCTAGAAGGATCACGTTAAACCTCAGACTTACTTGTTTTTGAAAAGCTAAGAATACAGTCTAGGAGGCTGCTTTACTTTTAACACACTTCTAGAATAAATGAGTATTTAAAGTCTATACCAAGACATTCTTCTTTCTCATTTATTATTCCTGCCTTAGAAAAAAATGAGTGCAACTCTTTAGCTTAATAATAAATTAGGATTCGACCTAGCACTTTAGCTGGGAATTTACATCCCTGAATCTACATTTCTAAGTAATTTTCCAAGTAATTATTTGTGAGTGCATGCCTGGGGTTGAGCCAGATGTTGTTTCCTTAACTTTAACACTGCAATAGGGAAAGGAAAAAAGTAAACAGTAAAAGAACAACACAAACAGCAACAAAAAAGGAGCATATACAGAAGAGTATTTACTTGTGTTAAGTATTTGCTTTGCCATAGATGGAATAGAATTTCCAATATGTAAAGCAACTGACACATGGAAATGTCTACAGCAGTATTCAAGGGTGCATATTTATTTTGGACTTTGCTATCACTTTCTGTTTTATCAGTTGGGTTTTTAGTAAGTGGGTTACTGGGGAAATTTGGTAAGGAAGACAGCCATTAGCTGCATGAATACATTTTTAGAAATCTTTATGTGTAAATTAGATACATCAGTTTTTCTTTTAAAGTAGTAGGATGTTGAGGGAAAAGTTAAAACAGTTTGTAACTCTCAAACTGGTAAGCATGGATGTAAAGTATGAGTATTGAAACATGGAGTACTAACAAAAGAAAAGGATGGAAAGCTGATATCAAAAGTATTAAACAGCTTTTCTAGCTACTACTGCAAGTCTCATTTACCTAGGGACAATCAGGAAAATTAATCTGAAATAAATTTTAAACCGGATTAATTAAACTACATTAAATCCTTATGTAAATATACTTCCTCAGAATTAAAATATTTTTATTTAATAATATTTGGAAGTGAGTTGAAGTAAATCAAATTAAGGTCTCTTTAATATTGCTTGAGGACATCCATCCTGTAACTTCAAAGCAAAAAAACGATCTCATTTAAAATTCAGACTTTTTGTTGTTTTGGACTGCTTTTCCTGCTCAGATCAATGTGGGTAAGCCACTCTGCTACAATTTTTAGTACCAGTTACAACTTTTTAGATTCTAACCTTATTTGATTTCCATAACTAAAATCTGTACTTACATTAGGCTTTTTCCTATATTACCTGAATTGAGAGATCTTACATTTAAAAACAAACAAGAAAATATCTTCCATTTTTCCCTTATTTACTGTTTAAGGTTAAATTTTAGCAATTTTTTTGATCACCTTGTTCAGCTTTCAAAAATATTTCTTATTCTCAGAGGCAATATTTTTCTGAGGTAAGCAGCTAGAAAAATGTTAGTGTGATGAATTTTTTTTGTTCCAGAAATGTGTTTAGACTCATCAGCATTTCTGAAGACACCAAATGCTGGGGCTATTTGGATTCAATATTTAGAGACTAATTTCCACATTCTACCATGTAGCCTCTTCATATCCTTTCCACAGCATAAAGTGAAAAGTTGATTTGTTATTAATAAGTGTGTTTGTCAGTGGTGTCAGGCCAGCAAACGAGCAGCAAGGTAGTATGTTTACATATTTATAGGACATTTACTTACTTTTTTTTCTGAATGATGAATTTGCTTGTATGTAGACCACAAATATGTCTAAATGCAATAACAGAATGGCAAAAATATAGTCTCATTGGTTCAATGCAAAATGGATTTGCCAGTGATATTTTTGTGGCAGTGATAAATAAATGCTCATTTTTATTAAGAGCCCAACTTTAAAAGCAAAAGAAGCAAAGCCTGCAGTATTTAATTTCAATTTTTTGCATCATGATTGATACTAGAAGATACAACCATAAGGCTTCTTGTCCTAACTGTGGAGTAGTGATGATGAGGGAGAGAAACTGATACTTTCCCCAGAGCATGCAGCTGTCTGTACTTCAGGTGTGCTGCTCCACATCCATCATTGGCACATGAGTGAGAGGAATATGGAGTAAGCTTGCATTCTGGAAGCATAATTCTTGTTCTTCAGAAACATCACATTAGTCCTGTGGCATCATTTTGACCTGATAATTAATGGATTATCAAACAAAACCATAAATTAAATAAGGACAGAAACAGACAAAGCCAGTCATAGGTACATTTGTTACTTCTCTGTGGCTCCTTTTTCTCCAACAGTGTATCAGTTAAGTTCTGACTTACCATGGGTTTTGTTTTTCCTTCTTTTACTGCAGTTTATTATGCTGACATACATCTTTATGTTGGCCTGGCTTGGAGTTACAGCTTTCACTTCTCTGCCTGTTTACATGTACTTCAATCTTTGGACCATTTGCCGAAATGCCACCGTAGTGGATGGAGCTAATCTCTGCTTGGATCTTCGCCAGTATGGTATGTAAATAAAAAGCACTAAATGAAAACTAAGATTTCACAAAAGAAAGCATTCCAGTGCTTTGCTTCCATGTATCTGAAATGAGCTGTTCAGTGTTTCTGAAGCAATTGTTGAGAGTCTCTCTCTGCCCTTTTAGCCACTAGTCTAGGCGGTGTATAAAAGATGAACTGCATTTCCAGACCTGACAAAAATTGAGTCAACCTTGTCCATCTTCCCAGAGTAATGAAAATCTGGCATGGGGCTTTGGCTTAGTCTCTTCTTTACAAATTGCTGACACTTGTCTAAAATGCTTGATTAGTCATTTACCTGGAGAGTGACTTTTAATCTTGTGGTAGGACACTGACTTGGAGCTGTGAGGTCCTAGGGTATCAGCTGTGTCTGCAGAGGTGAATTTGGACACAACAAGATTCATTGCTTTCAGCCTTGATGAGGACTAACAATACTGATAGTAACAATCTAAGAAAGTGGTGGAAAGAGAGATAGAGGGAGTGGGTCTAAAGCCTGAACAGTGGGAGTTAGAATAATGTGGGGATATGCACCTATGTGCATTTTGAGAGGATGTGAAATTTAGATAGAAAGGGATTTGTAATCTTAAAATGTGTGAGAATTCTTGTGTTGGTGATGGTAATTCAATTCCTTCCTTCTATAAGACTCGTTTGATTCTACATGTTATGGTCTTAGTGATTTCTCAACCCACAGAGCTTTGGATAATCATACTCTCAACAGAGAGTTTCTTATCTTTCTTTTGTTTCCTTGTACTAAAATAAAATCCCAGTATATTTTAATTGTGTGGAGATATAAAAGATGCTGCATTTCTTGGCAAAGAAACTGTTTCATTAATAATAAACATTTCAATAAAATATTTGACATTATTCTTGCATGAGAGGAAAGAAAACTTGGGTTTTTTTATTATTTATTGGGTTTTTTTCCAACACAGCATGGCAGATGAGTTTAAAAAGAAATTATCTGTATATATCCCATCAAGTGTATTCATTTTTCTTTCTATGACCTTTTATTTTGTTAATATTCAAGATTTTTTTTTTATTAATTCTATTTAGAGTGTTCATAGAACACCAAGATATACAGTGTGTATTCTGTGAATGTACCTGTTTCCTGTAGATTCAGTGCAAAAAACACTGATTAATATTAGGAATGAACCATTTTTCAAGATAAATTAGTTAATTGTAGTTTTTTGTTCAAGCTAGTCCTTGATTTGTTATCTGGACATTAGCTAAAGGAAGCCAATTCTACTTAATATTGCTGAAAAGAGAAACAGTAAAGTATGTTTGTGTAATGCTTTTTTATAACTTGTGAAAGAAGCTTTATACCAGATCAATATGTTTGAAACCAATATACAGCACATTTCCCCACATGAGATTACAGAAGATTTGTGAACATTTTAAGTGTATAAACTGGTTGTAAATAATTTATGCTTTTTTAATCGTTGTTCTGATCAAAATAGGGAATAAAGATTTTTTTCAAAATTGGCAGAAAAATTGTTACCTACATGTTTCTTACTGGGGCTTTTACTAAATAGATGATGTATTAGTTTTGTGCTGGCTGAAATGGAATAAAATCCTAGGATGGTTTTATTTGGAAGGCACTTTAAAAACAAATTCCAACCATGAGGCAGGCAGACTTTCCCCTAGATCACATTGTTCAGGTCCCCATCCAACCTGTCCTTCAACACTTCCAGGGATGGGATGCCCACCATTTCTCAGGGAAGCATGTTCCAGTGGCTCAACACCCTCACCACAAAGAATTTCTTCCTTACATCTAACCTAAACTGAATCTCTTTCAGTTTAAGCCATTACCCCTTTGTTCTACTGCAGCATGCCATTGTATAAAGTCCCTCTCCCGCTCTCTTGATGAACTCTTTTAGTTACTGGAAGGCTGCTCTAAGGTCTCCCCAGAGCCTTCTCTTCTCCAGGCTGTGCAATCCCAACTGCCTCAGCTTGTCTTCACAGGAGAGTTGCTCCAGACTCCCGATTGTCAACCAAACCCAAATATCATTGCTAAAATAAGTTCTTAGCTGTTCTCATATAAAGGAAGTTGATCTGTGCCAGGAATTCTAAATAATATGAATATTTATTCTTCTCCAGGTATTGTAACTGTTGGAGAGGAAAAGAAGGTTTGCACCTCATCAGAAAGTTTCATCAAGATGTGTGACTCTAATGAGGTAAATAAATATCATAGTATTTTTGGCAAATCCATAATATATGCTGTAGTAGGAAGTAGCTAATATATGTTTTCTCACTGTTAATGGTCTAATTCTAGATATGGTGATGAATTAAATCATGGTGAAAAATACAGTCAAGCAAGTAGTTTTCCTAGTATTTTACCAAGTATCAAATTTATTCAGTGCAATTTCTTCATCCATTTGTTTTCTAAAGACACTTGTGGTTTGTTTGTTTAGGGTTTTTTAATAATTCCAATATCTTGTTCTTTGTTACTGAGACGCTTTTGAAGGCTAATGCCCTGCTGTACAATGAATAGATCCACAGGACTCACTGATTGAAGGGCTTATGATTACTGTTGTGACAGGAGAGTAAAGATTTCAAATGGATTTGGCCAAACCTTGTTGAGCATTAGGATAGTAGCTTTTAGCACATTTTTCTTTGCAGTTTTTCCCTTGGGCAAATGCCACCTGTTTCAGTGCAGCTAAGGGTTCTGGTGCTGTTTTAAAATGATAAAGGACGAACAAAATTACATCTGCCTGAAACAAAGAGAGGCTAAAATGCTGATCCCTCTGAAGCCAGAAGGATCAAGACTTGCTAAGTGTTTCACTAGGTCTTACCTAGTAAATAGTTGAATAAATCTCAGAGGGGAGGTACACAATCCGCCCTTATACCAAAACCATCTTAGAAAATGCAGCTCTTGTGGTGCAGTTGACTCTCTGTGGCTCCTGCATAAACCAGGTCATTGAAATTAAGAGCAAATGTCATCATTTGATTTGGGATTAGGTGAGGATGCTGGTTAATTTGAATTACGTAAGTAACCTGGTTTATATTATATGACTGTGAACAAATTTGAGAGGAAAGTGGATCAATATATGAGGATGTAAAGCTACAGGTATTGAAGGGAAAATGGGGTTTCTTAGGCTGTCTCTGCCACTGGAGAAGCTACCACAAACAGAATTCTTGTAAGGTAATATTGTAGTACTGTAGCACAAAAAACCCCAAACAAAACCTTCAAAATGCTTTGCAGTGCTTATCTTTAAATAATTAATTTTCTTAATATTTTATTATGTAAATGTTGTATTCCTAAATAGAATTATGTTTTTTTTCCTGATATGAGCACTGTAGCAAAGCAAGCACAAGCACAATGACACATAGTGATATCAATCTCTTGGAAAGATATTCCTATTCATTACTTTTGTGGAAGGGTGGCACATGGAAGGCAATTATTTGTTCTATGGTATTCTGAATTTTTGTTCATTTTCTGTTTGTTGTACAACTATGAAAGCTTTTTCTTTGCCTCCCTTTGCAGCTAAACATGACATTCCATTTGTTCATTGTGGCACTTGCTGGAGCTGGAGCAGCAGTCATTGCTATGGTAAGATACCTAACACTCTATGCCTCATCTGAATTGCTGATACCTTCTGGTTCTGACTTAGGATCAGCTGTTCAATTTCCATACTATCACTCAAAGCTATTATTAAAATATAGTTATGTAATTCAATACTCTCTCTTTTTTTCTTTTCTTTTTTTTTTAATATATTGATGGATTCTCTTTGAATTAGAATATCATGATTACTTTTTTGAATTAAAAAAACAGCTATAAGTACATGCAAATAATTTTTACTCTTCTTTTGCTGTATTCAGACAAGTCTGAATTCTAGTGTCTGTGTGGTAACCATAGTATTATACTTTCATGATCTCTGCCTTTCTGGGTAGTCATAGGCTTGCCATGCTGCTATTTTAGGAGCAGAATCTTTTTGTCAGTTCTGTGACTATAGATGAATGTGTTGATTTTTCTGTCAGGACTAATTTTTCTGCTCCTTTATAATGAAGATTACTTTAAATTTAGTGACATTTTGTCAATGAGAAGGTTCCACTGAGAAAAAAGTGTATGAGCTAGTGCCCTGCTCTTCTGTCTTTTGTCTGCTGTATTTGCCTAAGAAAAAGATATTTTTAGACTTGCAATTCTGTACTGGTGTAGGTTTGCACTATGCACACTGGAATGAGAAATGAGAAGTGACTGTTACTTGGTGCTGATGCATTCACAAGTGTTAGTGGTGGTGATCACTATGTACTGCTTATACTAGTAATTTTTTATAGATCATAGGGCCATGATTATTTTGTTATCCTTATAATTACTTTTACAAAAAAGTACACTCAGAAAATACCCAATGAAGCAAGTACTTCTCTTACATTAATGATTTTTTTGTTTTCATCTGCCATTCATTTGCTGCAAACATCAAAGATAGCCAAATGGAAAATATCTCTTTTCAATGTAGTTTTTTGTTTCAAGGCCACAAATAATAAGTGCAATAGTAGAATACAATTCATATTAATAATTGAATTGGTTTTTCAAACTTAAATTTTTCTACTTATAGTTTCAATAATAGTGACCATATAGCAATTATGATATATATATCATTATTGTTAGGAAATTAAATCCAAGAGATCATTAGTTTTCCATTGTATGATTATTTGAAAGTATATTCAGTAGTTATTATGAAATGCTAGTTTGTTCAGATAAAAATTCTGCATTTTAAACAAGACTTTTTAATCTGAATAGCCACCGAAAGATATTCAATTAAAAATAGCATATCTTCAGTGAAAGCAAATTAAGTAGGTACACTGTGCCACATAGTTTAAATACATAATACTTTCAATGAAGTTTTTAAAAGACCCGTTCAAAACTCAGCATATGAAAGATGCCATACCTGTATTAAACCAAGCACAAGCACCTCAGGAATTCACTTTGATGGTGCACATTTATTCACATATTTTTGAAGGATTACCCATATCCAAGTGTGCTTTCTGTTGAATTCTGTAACTGCACAGAGCAGGCATGATAACACTGTTTCAAAAAAAAGATGAATTAATATTCTAAGTGCTAGTAAATTGCATAGTGTCCCAATGCTGGTAGATGTATGTTTCATTAAATGTTTGCAACAGTTATATATATATATTTCAAGTTTGTAACGGCACAGTTTGTTTTTAACCTATCATTCTAATCTGTTAGGTACCTCCTAAAGACCAGTACGTTCTACACTTTAATAGTGGTAATTTCTAAAACCAACATTCCAGACCACATCTGTAGGTTGAGACATGTGCTTCACTCTTGACACAGTAGCCCAAACACAAGGATAAGGACATGAGGGAAAATTCAGAATTTGGTGGTTGGAAATGCAGATATTAACAGGTTCTCCTTTAAGGGAAGTTTACTTTCCCAAGGTAAAATTAATTTAAGGGAGGAAAAATTAATTTGGAGTCCTAACTAACTTCATCTAGGAAGAAGAAGATATATTTTTTTCTCCAGATCTTGCACTCAAACTAGTAGACAGAGGTAATGCATCAGTAGTGAGAAACAGTGTGCAGAAGTAACTCCAGTCATTGGAGAACCAGTGCCCTTCACTGCATGTGCTGTTTCAAGAATAATCACAAATATGAAATTATGACATTTGTGTATACCCAGAACATGTTTGTGAAATTCAACAGGAAAATTAGATTAAAATACCAGTCTTTTACAAAAGAAAAAGATTATTAACATAATGCACTCTTAAAACATTTCTTGCAAAAAATTGCTTTAAACTAGAATAGTCTATCTGACTAAAGTGGTAAGTATGTTGTATTTATGGCCAGCCAGTAATTGTAGTGCAACATTAGGGACACTGCTGAATAACTGAATTAGCAAAATATGCTATCTGAATTGACTTTTAAAGTTATGCCATCAGTATCCTCCTCTGTATCCTCACTTCTGAATTTGTAAACATTTGCGAGTACCAGACTATTTAATATCTGAGATTTCCTTAAACTCTCTAATATCCATATGATTCTACAAAATTCACAAAAGAATCAGCTTATTTGTAAATATTAAGTTCATCTGTCCCCAGGATACTTTTCATGAAAGTATATTTTAAAAATATATATTTTTAAAAAGTAGTCATTTATTGCAAAACCACCACAAAACTTGTTAATACTTGCAATACTATTTGGTCACAAATCACAAATTCCCCATATGTCTTGGTCGCAGATTTACATGTGAATTTTTTCACAATTCACTCTTTAGTCTGCAAAGGAGAGTGTTATTTTGGGGTTCAAAAGGAGAATTGTCCTAAGTAGGACTAATAAGTATTAGGACTGATTCACAGAAAACCTTATATTCCTTACAGTATATGTCAAGGAAAGTTTAATTTTGCAGCAAAGAACACCTGTGTAGAGTTTATTTTGAAAATTTATCATTCTTATGTCAACCCAAGATGGGAAAAAAAGAACCGAAACCAAAACCTGATAGAATTATATATGTTGTAAATGCTTTTTGAGAGGTTTCATCATGGAAAAAATAGCCAGGCTTTTGAATCATATTTAATTTGTACCATATATGATTCTGAGCAGTACTGTTCTTTCTTATGTCTGAATGGGTAACAAATGCCTGTGGAAGAGATCATTACAATAATACATATTAATTTTACTGTTGTCAGTGTGTTAGAAAGAGACAGAAGACATGAAGTTTAAATGTAAGCTCTAGCATGCAAGAGTTGATTGTAAAGCCGGTATACATTCCACCTGTGATGTTTCCCCAAAAGCACTGCAGAAAAACTTAATTATGAGATGCAAGATTTCCTTTCTCAAAAGTTACCATGTGAGCTGGTAACTCTTTTGCCTTAACTTCCAAAGAAATTTTGTCCTGCAGGGTGGCGATGCAATCAATTCCCCTGAAATAGGAACAAGGGAAATGTCAAGTGGTCTATTCTTCTCCTCAGTATGATTGTGCTCTTCTGCAGGGTATGCGATTTGTGTAGAGAGAGGAAGAAAAGCTATTTAGAGATGGGTCCTGGGGAAGTACTGACATGTCCTCAATGGAAAAATACAACAAACTCCCCTGCCCAAATATCCTCCTAAGCTAGCTGCAATTCCACAATTTCTAAACACTGAAGCAAACTTTCACCTTATGAAGAAATCTGAGCAGGAATGGGTATGGAAAGACCCTGCACTGTCTTGCATATGTCTGTAATTGAAACCTCCTGAGGCAGACTGTGGAAGCTGCCTGGCTTCAATTTAAATAAACCTTGATGGGGCCCCCACTGGCTTCAGGCTATTCAGGTCATGGAGTTGTGAAACGCAATTAGACAGCCACTTAGAAATGACCTCGGTAGTGTGGCAATGTTATCTAGGAACTTGGTGCTAAAACAGAAAAACAAAGGTGGCTGGACTGTTCGATGTATATGTTATTATAAATAATGGATATATATTTGAGATTATATAAGTTATAGGAGGTGTTTCCTGGCAAGTCTTCCTACTTACAGCGAATGTGAACTGCAAGAGTTTTCAATAGTTTATTATAATATCTTGATTCAGTAACTTCTTAAAGAAGGGATGGGCAAAGAGTGGGTGTTTAATGAAGGTCAGACTGTTACTAATATACCTTCAAAATAGTCTATTATTAACAAAGAAAAATGCCAAATGAAACTGCAAGACATTAAGTTTAAATTTGTCTCTTAACTGGGTCATTACGAAATATTTTGTGAGGATAAGAAAACATCATCTCATTTTCATCACAGCTTCTTGAGTTGCAAGGATTTCTGGCAAATACATTTTAAAAGGTCGTGAAGATGTGAGTACACTGATATCCCCCCCACACTTTCAGGATTCTCATGTCTGCAATCTGTTTGAAGTTCAGACTGTATTTTAAACTAAAATTTCAGGATCAAAGGGCCAGTATTCATGTTTTCATTGAGTGCAAATTGCAATAGAGATGATGAAATTTTTAGGATTACCAGCCTGTTTATTTTGATTTTTCCCAATAGTTTTACTGTGGAGAATTGAAGGCGTTTCCTTCAGTACAGTGGAGATCCAGGATTAGCGTCTCCCATTTGATCTAGAAATGCCTGATCCAGAAGCCAGCCATGGTGAAAGCTTTTGGAAGAGCTGAGTTAGGATAAGAAAGTGTTTCTTTTTCCTGTGTACTAAATGATGAGTAGAGAGTGTTCCAGAATGGCACACAACATGCTGCCCTCTCCAACATCCATACCCACGGATTGCATTGCTAGTGTTCTAGAGATACTGAGAAAATCCTAAATACATGTAGAAATACTACTCTCTAGTTTGGTTATTTTTTTCTAGAGGACGGATCCTCTGAACAACTTCTTTCTCTTTTATGCCTCCTCAAGTCTGACAGTATTTCTCAAATAAGGACTAATTGGAAATCTGACATAAAATAGGAGGATAAAAAAAGTAGCAAAAATATCAGGTCTTTTTAAGGGCTTCAGAATGCTTTCCTTGATCTTAATTATCCAGATTAAGAAATATACTTTTGCCTATACTAATCAGCAACAATTGCCAACAAATATTTGTGGGAAAAAAAAGTCCAAATAACATTGGATATTCCAAAAGAAAAAAGACATATTAGAATAGATCTGTTCATTTAGTGTGAATCTAAGATACTCATATGTACAACAGTACAACATGAACAGGAGAATTTGCATAACTCAATGTAATTTCTTATTGTGCTATTATTCCATTTTCCATTAACTGAATCCCAGTATAATTTCTTGATTTCTTAGAGGGAGGTGAAATAGTTTGGACCCACAAACTTGTCCGTTGCTTCTGAGGAAGTAGATTACCATAAATTAGAGATGCTCTCATCAGAAAGTGTCTGAAAGCCTGCTAGGAAAGGAATGAATGTTCAGAGAGTCCCAGCATAAGCCAGCTGAATATCCTTGTGGAACACTTTTATTTTCTGACTGAATACAGAGTGAACAGAGCATCAAATTTTTTTTTAGCTATATTTTGTCACATTTTGCTAGCTGAACTTATTTTCCAGTTATTGACAATTTTGCCCCAGATTGGCAAGTTAAATACAAAGTTAGAATTGTAGTTGAAAGAAGTCATGGCTAAATGGAAAGAATATGCTAACTTTAATAAAAATTAAGAAACAAAACTTTCTTTAATTGTATTAGATATGCAGACATAAGTTGTATCTACGGCATATTTCTGTCTTAAGAACTACCTTAACAAATACTTCCTCAGTGGGGAAAATGTACAATAAATACATAACCAGAAGGCATTTTTACATGTACCTTTGCAGACTAGATTAAAAATAATGCAGGGATGATTTCTGGATTTTTCAGGTTTTAGGTTGTTTTTCCTTTTATCTGTTGCTACCAACTACTAGTTATAATAATAGTAACAGCTGGGAGATAATCTGAAGATTAATGAAGCCTGAGTTTGCCATCGTGGTCCTGTACTGCTACTTGATACCATGAATGCCTAGTTCCTGCTGATGAGAGCCCAGTCTGTCCTGCAGCCTTCAAGTTTACACGTGCTCTATTCTGGCTACCGCTATTGTTTCTTAACTCTGTGTTACCTCTCTTACAGGTTCATTATCTCATGGTCTTGTCTGCCAACTGGGCCTATGTGAAAGATGCTTGCAGAATGCAAAAATATGAGGATATTAAATCAAAGGAGGAGCAAGAGCTGCATGATATTCATTCTACTCGCTCTAAAGAGAGGCTCAATGCTTATACATAAAAGAAACCTTGTCTTACTTCCTAACATGTGAATGCTTTGTTGTTTAACTAAAGGCCATCCTACCATTTTAAAAACAATTGAAAGTGCTTCTCACAAAAGATAGTTTGGGTGACTTACATATCACCTACATACAATTCTTGGTTGTCTAGCACTTGGTTTCTTAATTAGTTCTTACTTTGTGCGACCATTCTATACCACGAAGCTCCTAAATAGCCTTTCCTGAATCCCTTTAAGCTAATTAGTTCTGATAGGTCAAGAATACTAAACTATTGTCAAATACAACTATGTGTTTGATTTTTTTAATCACTTTGTATGTGTTATGCATAACACCTTTTGCATTGTTTCTTATATGTTTTTGGAAAAAAAAAAGTAGCTTTTTATACTTTTTAGTTTTGAGTTCAGTAACTACTTTAACTACAGGTATACTTCAAAGGGACCATTGTACATGATGTACAATATATAAAGAAAACATTCTGATGACTTTCCTTTATATATGGAAAACCTGCCAGAGGGACCCTGATCAACTTGAATGAAGGTCCTAAGAACGTTTTAAACAATCAAAGGTGCAATTTCTAAATTTGTAATAGTGGGTAAAAAAATAAAAAAAAAAGTGAAAAAAGAAAAAAAAAGAAAAAAAAGAAAAAAGTGCTTCTTATCTTTGTTAACATTGTATTATTGATGTTTTTAAAGAATATTCTCTTGTTTCAAGTTCCATGGGTGATAATTCCTGTTTGTATTGTGAGCATGCAGTCCGTGGTGCTAACAATGCATGGCCACTTGCCTTTTGAAGGAATTCAATACCACGGCTACCTGTTAACGAGTTATGGTATATAGACAACTGTTAATTAAGTGATATAGTTATTCATAGTTTTCTACAGAATAATCTCTCTTTAATTCAATGATGGTTATGCTAAATTGGAGCTGTCCATGTGATGATGTAAGAAATTACTGCTTAGCTACATTTATGAAAGTAATATATCCAAAATGCAGTGACTATAGGAGTCAGATGTCTTTTTACCTGCTTTAAAAATTTAAATGGATTGCACCTGTCTGAACTGTAAAAGATATATTAAAGGAGACTTCCATAAATGTTATAGCTTGGCTTCTAGCTTTCCTACACATAATGGTTTACCTGTATTACGTTGAAGTAAGGTGAAAGACCACTACAGAGCTTATTATTTCAAAGTGTAGTAATATATTTGAACCTTTATTTTGATATGAAAATGTTATCAGAATGATAGGTCATCTTAATTTGAAAGAATTACCTGTATCAAAAACAGAACAAAAAACCCTATTTAAGAAAAGTTGGTATTATTGGACCAAATTTGGTGGATTTTTTTTTTATTTTGCCTATTTCTAATGCTACAAGAATGCTGTAAAGTGTCTTTTAAAGTGATGTAGCCTGACAAGACATTTTTGTCAGTGTTAAAAATCTTAGGTAGTTTTGTGCACTTATTGGACCATTGTGAATTCTCTCTCAGTGTAAGTGCATTTCTAATAAAACTTCTTGAGTAAAACTCTTCTTTGTACTATTACTAGTCATGCATCATCAGTAATTTTTAACAATTCTTGTAGTAAGTAGAAGGTAATACTATAGTTACTTGTGGCATGATAATGCATTAAGTAGTATTAGTTGGTTGAGTTTTTTTTAATTTTTCTTTTCTTTTGCTTGTTTTGGGGTTTTTTTGGTTGTGTTTTTGATTTTGGGTTTTGGTTTTGGTTTGGATTTTTTTTACACTTAAGCTGTCCTACGGGGTCAACAGTTTTCTGATAATGTGCAGTACCGGTATTACAGTTCTGCAAAAAGTATTAGGAACCTCTTTTTGGATTCTATATTGTAGTGTTTCAGTTTTGTGTCTTAAAATGTTTGTGCTGATTTTTAAAACTATGTCTTTTAAACTCATGTAATGATGTTAATGCTTTTGGCTCTTCTCTGGTATTAGAGTTTGTATTTTCACAAAGAATGCTTTGTAGCAGGCATTACAATTAATCTGTTTTGTACATAAATGTGCCAACAGCTTGATGGTGGCGTTTTTGAAATGTAGAACAAAGTGCTTGCAAAATGTAATAAACACACTTGTGTACTTTGTGTTCTTGTTAATTCTTTGTGTAGTTTTTCTTTGCCTATACAGGACAGGTCACCGTATCTAGAAATGGAAGAAGCTTGTTTCTCCTATACACCTTGCTATTGCACAGATTGCTTTGAATATCTCCTAACCAGCATTTAGTGTCAGAAATCATGTATCTTAAGGCTAAGAGAGTAAAATATCTTCTAAGAGCAGAGTTTCATAGTCTAGGAAGTGCCAGGTAGCAGGAGCCATACTTGCTATAATTTTAACATATCAGTCAAAAGAAAAATTAGGAAAGATTCCCTTGCTACAGTCTCATTTGGAACAGCTCAGCAGAAACTGATCTGACAGCAGTTTGAATATTGCTGAGGATACTGATTTCTGGATGTTACAGCAACTAATACTTTGAAACCTCAGTAACAATACTACATTACTTATGTGCATGTAAGGTAATTTCAATGGTTGAGAGACCACTGTGTGTAATGTGTTTGTTTCTCGTTACCTAGCTGTTATGTAGCTCTTTGTTGCTCTCTATGAGAACATGTGCCATAATGGCAGACATTTCTTCAGTAGCAGCACAAGCCAAGGGAGTAGAGGAGCTTCCCACAGCACAGCACAGCACAGCACATCTGTCATAATTAATTCACTTCAAAGTCTGCATATATTTGGTTTATTCCAGAGTCTTCTCTGTTTGTTGGCAGCCTAAGCTGATTTTTCCTGAGGTAGGCTGCATGGATCTTGATTTCTAAAAACTCTTTTGTGCTTAATCTAAACTTGTGTCTATTGGGCTTTTGAGAAAACTGCTGTAGGTTAATCTGTTTGGCACAGGTTTTTGCCTTTAAAAAGGCTACAGTTAAAGAAAAATTTTCAGTTTAAGAGGATTCCAGCCCTGGATACTCAGTTTTGCTTGTTCATCACAGTTTACTATGCCCCATAAATGCTACTAATAGCATGTTACAAAACAGATGCAAAATTGATTTGAGGTAGATATCCTTCCCAGTCCCTGTCTCCCACTCACATCACCCCCTTTTCTTCTGCACAAGATTATTTTATCCCTCAGCAGGACTGTTTCCCTCAGCAGCAATGTTTCTACTTTGAGCATGAGCACATAAAACATTGAATCAGCAAGATTTAGACAACGCACAGCAGCACACCACAGTCTGGGGATGAGTGTTTCCACCTTGGTAGAGAGACTGGCAATTTTTAAGCCAATGCACCATATAGTTAGGTGATGTAGTTAAATAGAGGAGACATTGAAATTATATACCTATTTAATATTTCTAAATAGTTAATGACTTTTTTTTCCACAGGTCCTAAAGTAAGAGAATTTCAAGTGCAACTGGCAATATATCTATAAATTAATTTAAAGTTATATATGCAACTTTTAATCTTACATTAGTGCAACTATTTAAATTGTAATATGTGTACATTGATTGTAAGTATTATTTGAACATTATCATGATTACAACTCACTTCAGTAGTATATTTAGAACAGAATATTTCTGTACTGTACTTCCTATAATAGCCGATGACAACAGTTAATAGAGTCTTTTCCATCATCAAGATCCAATGCATTTTTAAATTTTTCACTTCTGGGTTACCACAAGTATTTATGTAGTTGGTTTTCTGAAGAACACAGCTCAGTTTATAAACCATAAAAGATCAGACTATAGTAAATTTCATCTCAGGAGGAAAGGGTGTGTTTTTACAAGCTCTCTCTTAAAATTATTTTTTTTCCCAATTTTTTATTTTTATTGGGTTGCACAGAAACCCCACATACATTGTTATGCAGCAAGCTGATTTATGTCTCACATTTCAGAGCTGCCTCCATTTTGGGTAGATATCAATTGGAAAGAACAGGCCCAGAGCACACAGTGTCTTTAACAGCTCTTTCTGTCCCACATGAGTTCTTCTAACTTGCATTTTCTACAAGGGAGGAACTCCAGCAGTTGCTGGATTTTGAGGTTTTCAGCTGTAGTTTCTTGTTCTTTCAGGCATCCGTGGAGGATCCCAACACATCACAGTTACTTCTGTGTTTAACAATTATTAGCAATGATGGAGACAGGTAAGTGTTTCTGCTGGCACACCAACAGGGATGGTGACTGGTACAGAAGTGGATCATCAGACAGATTTGCAGCTACTCTGCAGGGAGAAATTTATCCTGAGGAAAAGGTTCTGCACACAAGCTGCTGTGCACTCTTTCCCTCCCTGTGTAAAGTGGAGTTTGGTCAAGTAAATGTGAGCCCCAGGGAAGATCATTTCAGTAGGTCTTTGATTTGGTGCTTCTGAGCTTCCCATGTTTGAAAGGGATGGTTTGGAGGCAGGTGTATGTACTTTAGGAGTTATTAAAAAGCAAAGCAAAACAAAACAAAACAAAAGCAAAAAACCCCAAGAGACTTGCATGAATATCCTATGGTTCTACATGTTGAGTAACTCAAGACAGAAATACTGTGTAGGCCACATAAAGGATTATCAGAGCTAGGTTTTTCAAAGGATCTAAATACCTTTTCTTCTCAGTTGCCCAAGAAAACGATACTTAGCATGAATCACTTTCCTGTGGTTAATAGAAAATATTTTGGTCTCTGAGACTGTAAGTCCTGGGTTTTATTACATAGCTTTACTCACATGTATTTCTTTGTAAGGATAAATATTAATTTTAGAACAAATCTCATGGGGAAACAAATTTATCCTCAACAAATTAATGTCCCTGTAAAAGCATGAAAGTTAATTCCTGGATTTTACAATTCAGTTAGTTAATTGCATGTAAAATCACATCCTCACCACTTTGTCCTTTTGGAATAATAAACTAAATCACATGGTTAAACACAGAGGAAAAGTGTCAGGTACCAGCAGCCTGGTTTGAACTGAGTAAGCAGATGGAAACCTTCCTCAAGGAGGCAGTGCTAATGCCTCATATTGATGCCATCTTCTGAAGTATGAAACGTTAAGCACAAATACCTCATTAAGGTGTTTCATTCATATTTCTGTTTTCCTTTCATTATTTACTTCTCCATGGCATGCTGTTCCTTGTGACATAATTTGAATTGGAGCTGAAGCAACATAAAACTTGCTGCTACCGAGGAGAGCATGTACCGATGCCACTGAGCAGTGAAGTACCACATGCTTGGAAACAGGGATGAGACCAGTGAAAAAGGAAGGCAGGAAAAAAGAAATATAAGATTTTCCTTTCCTAGTAAGCCCCTAGTAAAGCTGCAAGGTAATAAGAGATTCTCTGGGCTCGAGACTTGTACCCCAGTTAAAGCATTATATACAGGTATGCTTTGCAGCACTAGGGCTTTAGGCGTAGTGAGAGTTTCTGACAAGGTACAAATGGCAAATGCCACTTGGAACATATTTTGGACAGTCTAAAGCCATGTTTCTCCTGAAAGGAGCAGATGGTCGAGAGAAACTTGTCAAGCTTTAATTGTCACAGAAGGACCTAGTCACTGGTCATCTGGCCATGTGTGCTCAGGATCTCTTCCCAGCATGAGTGGCGTGGTGGCAGAGCTGATGTGTCACATATGCAACTGCATGGACCTG